AAAAAAAAAAAAAAAACGTTGAGTTTCCGGTACGTAAAATGCCCTTAACGTATTTTTATTAATTATAATAATAATAAAAACTTATAAAAATTTAGAGAGAGGGGCAAATTTATAGTTTTTTATAAATAATAATAATAAATTTTTTTTTAATCTTCGTGATTTTAATAAAATCCAACAGATGAAAAATAAAAATTATAAAAAAAAAAAAATTTTTTTTCTGCGGTTTAAGTGGTTTGAATATTTTCAATAAAACCTGATTTTTTTTTTTTTTTTTAATTCGTCATATAATTTTTTTTTTTTTTTTGTAAATTTTCCGTCATTTTCCAAATTTCAAAATTATTATCATAACTTTTGATTTAAATCTTTTATAAAAAAAAATATATATATTTAATTCTAAAATATAAATTTATACATAATACTTTCTTTTTAAAAATGGCTGCCATTACGTGTAACAATAATTTAATTATTAAATTTTTCTCGTTTAAATTATACAAATTGATTGGAATTTTCTATCCATATTTATATACATAGGGTCGAAGATGAATTATACCTTAATGATACATACCTGAATGTCGTTATTCTACCTGGTTACCTGAAATAAAACAAAATGGGTGGTCATCAGTTAGGTATTTATAATAAAAGTTGTTAATGTGGGTGGTGGCACCAATCCATGCATACCATTTTTTAAATTCATATTAACCAAGAATTTACATTTTGATATTTTTTTTTTTAATAATATTATATATAATTATAATATCTATAACAAAAGGACTCGCCCTTTTTCATCTAATTAACCAGTTTTTACAAAATTTATTTGTTCCATAATTTGTGTTTACAAGAAGTCAATCCAATTTGTTTGTGTGTAAAAAAAAAAAAAAAAAAAAACCGTTAAATAAAAATATGAAGCATATTAAAACCGTTAAAGATGGAACTAGTTTTATAAAATTTTTTTTTTAGTAAAGATTTCCAATATCAAATCAATCAATATCTATCTTATCACAATAATTAATTAATTATCTGATTTTTGATTAGTTAATTTGTATCGACTATCGACCATTTTTTTTTTTTTTTTAAGGTAAAATATAAGAAAAAAAAGTTTTATTTATATATATATACATAAAAAATTTAAATATCGATTTTAAAACTTTTATTTTTTTAAAAACACTTAAAAATTTTTGTTTTAATTGACATGTTGTAATAAAAGTATTTTAGATTTCCAAGTGGGAAAAGTTTATACATTAAAATTTATTTAATTGAAATTTGTTTTTAAAATAATGTGCATTTGTTTAAAACTTGTATAAATGTATATAATATAAAAAGTGGTTTAGTATAAACATTTGAATCAAATTGAAATATTAAAATCAAAAAAAATAAAATGATTCATTTGTACCTTTATTTACAACAGTTTTAATTAACCGACATCTTTGAAATTTAAAAAAAAAAGATGGATGGATAGATAGATATTAAAATATGAAATGGTAAAATATATAAATAGGAAAATTTGAAAAGGAAGGTTTAATTAAAAAAAAAAAAAGGAAAAAAGGAAGAGAATTTTTACATTCTCATAATAAAAATTGGTGGAATCTTCTGTTTTAGTCCAAAATTAATTTCTTTGTGGTTTTTTTTCCCAAATTACAATTAATCTATTGAAAATGTAATTTTTTTTTTTTTTTACTATCACTTAAAAATAAACAATTGATTTAATTGATATACATTTAAATTATAATTATAAAATTTTCTTTTTTTTTTTAATTCCTTATAAATTGCATTCATTTTGTCAAAAAAAAAAAAAAAAAAAAGAAAATTGCATAAAGTACGAGAGTTTTCCAATTTTTTTTTTTATTGGTCATTAAATTCAAATATTTTTCTGTCGTGCATTGAGTATCTGTCAGTCATTCCATTTTTAGTTTTATTTTCAATAGAAAACTTTTAACATCACTGGAGAAAAAAAAAAAAAATTGTTTTTTTAAAGGTTTATCCAGTCTGTTGTCTGGAGTAGTTTAATACAGGTATTGATTTCGTTATTAATATTTATTTTAAAAAATTAAATTCGGGGGTAAACTTCTTTTCGCGTTTTCAAATTCAATTAATTT